AAAGGGGGCGGGGGAGGGGGGGTAGGGGCAGGACCCCCGAACGGCGGGCTCCCCGGCGGGCCCACGCTTGCCCCGCTGCGGCTTCAGCTGCTCCGTCTTAGCTATGAAGGCTTGCAAGCCCAACGATGCGCTACTGGCAGGTCTGCCCGCGCTTCTTTCTTAGCTCTTCTTCACACGCATCGCACTGACGTCGCTTTAGAGATCTATAAACGGTAGAGGAACGGCAGAAGTCACAGTGGTCGCGTACAGGAGAAGAAAAACGAATAAAAGTTCTTCTCCCCCCTCTTTCTCAGAGCCGTGCGATTCGTTCAGCGCAGCCCCTGACTGGGCAAAGGCAATAAAAGATGCACCCGAGAAGGGATAGGTACTATAATAGAGTCTTCTTGCTGTTTTATCAAATGGCCACAAAGAAGAAAAAAAAAAAAAATCACTTTCCAAAGGGCAAATTCTGAAGCTGCTCCCAAAATAAATAGGCACTTGGCAAAACCGTTGGTCAAGGTGAAGGATTCTGCTTTTTCGTGTACATCAAATGACAACTCCAGACAGCTGAGGGTTGTTTTTTTTTTTCTTTTTCTTTTTTTTTTTTTTTATTTTTAAAAGGCCTTTTAAATGATCTATTTGCAAGCACTCCTAACTTATTTGGGGCTTGTTCTGCAGCTATGATAGAAGCAGTTGATCCTACTGCTCCACTTATCGCCACATTACTACAAGAGTTAGCAATCACTACTGCTAATTGCATTAGAGGCACTGCTCGTTTCCTTATATCCTCAACGATTATTGATTTTTGCTCTATATATTCATTTCCACAGCCCCATCGTACAGGGCCTGAGATCCAAGCTTACTTACTGCTATGTAATCTCTGAGAAATACGTAAGCATTTCATTTTCATCCCCCATCTGGAGCAGTTTAATATTTTAATCACATTATGAAAAAGCACCAAGACAGAAACAGATATCTTCCTTAGTGCTGCAGTGAATGGCTTTGGCACCTCTTCACCAAACACACCTTGGACATCCTGCCATTTCTTGCAGCCCGGTCCATCCCAAGATTAAGGCAACATCCACACACTACAGGAATGCAATAATTCATTCACCCCATGCCCACACATACTCTCCAGGCCCAGTGCAGCATCGCAGCTGTGGCATGCAGCATTGCTGACAGCTCCCCTGGGAATTTTGTTGGCATTTTTGTATTTCACACCTGTAAAATGAGGCGATACCTATTTGCCATGGCAGATATTGGCTGATAAAAAGCTCTAAGGAAGCCTAACTCATAAAACTTGGAGGTGAATTTTATCACAATTTACAACATGGCAGTAAATATATTCAAGTCACGTTTTATGATGACTGCACAAATGAAAGGCAAGTCATTTTCTCCCTTGACATTAACATTTCTCGTGGCTTAATTCCCAGCCTGATCTTTACGTCCACTTGCTTGTGAAGACAGATCTGTTTGGTGATTTCCCATCAGTACAAGGTTACCAAGCTTATCTTTATTAAAAGACAATAACAAAACGTAACGGTGCCTGTAGTCATAAAGACAAGAGCAAGAAAGGGAGATGTGAAGAGAAACAAGATCACATATTTCTTGTGTAAGTCACTGCCTTTGTTGTGCAATAACGGGTAGCTCACAGTCGATACATATACATGAGTTTACCACTGCAGCTGTCCAGCATTCCCTTCATTCCCTACAATTTAAAGTATTTCATAATAATAATGTACCCACTTATTAACATACCCAGCTTTCCCCCATGTGTGACATAAGAGAGAAATATTTTTCACTTAGCTCAATTTAGATATTTCAGACAAAATTTCTTTCAGTTTTCAACTCCCAGTCTTGGAAACAGATGTATTCAACTACGAGAGTAGTGCCGCTGTACATGAGGACTCCAACATTTTGTAGGTGTCTACAGTTACAAAGCAGCCCTCCCATATCTGCTGCACAAAAGTATCTACCAAGTTAATAACTAATGCCCGTTAACAAGATCAGTTGGCTAAGTTTACATAAGAATCAGCAAAGACTCTCACTCATGTATGACACAGGAAGATAAAAATAACAAGCCAAATGTAAACATCCTTCTAAACAAACGTGTGAACTTTAAGAAATAAAGCGGGGTAAGCCAGAGCGTGAAATTGGGGTCCTGAGGTAACAAAGGATCAGAAATGTTGTAGGAAGTGCCACCACGCTTGGGGAATTATAGAATCATAGAATGTTTTGGGTTGGAAGGGACCCCTAGAGGTCATCCAGTCCAACCCCCCTGCAGGGAGCAGGGACACCGCTAACCAGATCAGGTTGCTCACAGCCCAGTCCAACCTGGCCTTGAATGCTTCCAGGGATGGGGCCTCCACTACCTCTCTGGGCAACCCATTCCAGTGTTTCACCACCCTCATTGTAAAGAATTTCTTCCTTATATCCAGTCTAAACCTACGCTGGTTTA